GACAAAATTATTGTAACACTCAACGAAAAATACATAAATTAAAATTGAACGCACGGTGATGCCTTATGTTCTATTGCATAATATGGAAACTCAGCTGTCGGTCTCTTTATGCTGTCTATTCGAATGGTAGAAGGCCTCTATAAAATATAATAGAAAATTCATCAGTTCGAAAAAAAAACACCCGTGAACCACTGTACCTTTCTAGGGTTCGTCGCCAAGTTGGAATTTCTTTCGCTGCTAAAGCTTTTGCGATTTCAGATTCCGTGCAGGATGCGAGCGTATCTGCCTCCTTTTCGCTCACAATTGGAACGAATGAGTCACACAAGTATCGAATCACAATGCTCATCGGCAGCAATCGTTGAACACCATCTGCATACTCAATACTTCTTGATAAACCGTTCTGTTGTGAACAGGGAGGAGGGGCGGCAAAAAGCACATTGCTCATGGTGTACACTATCACAGCTCAAGCGCATGGATACTCTAGGCATCGCAGTCGCGACATCTCGCGGTTGACAGGTATCCTGAAACGGCCGGCCGCATCACTGCTACGTTGAGTGGAGTGAGTCCTAAGCAAATGCTTCCTACATCAACCCTCTTGCCACGCCACCTGTGTCCGTATCAGGGCACTTGACAACCGGGAAGCATCTCTCTCATTCCTTTTTCTTCCTCCTTCCCTCTCCTTCCCTTCTCTGATCCCTTCTCCTTTATCCTCTCCCTCAAACTACTGCAACTGGCAGATGCCTCGAGAACATACCTCCCAGAGAGAGCACGTCTGGTTGACAAGTGCCCCGTAACCCACCTATGTCATCCCTTCTGCCACGCCAATTTCGCTGCACTCCACTGACTAAGAACCAACGCTCTACACCCACTTCGGACAACCCTCTTAAAACTTGTATTTGCAGAATATATCAAATCGGCGCGTGTGGGACCTCTTGACAATAAAAAGGTCACGCAAAACAAATCATAATCAAAGCCCAGGTTTATGAAGCTGGCTATTGGAGTCTTTCACCAGATTCTTAGAAGCCTATATACTCGTATGCAAGGGGAAGTTCGGCTTGGTGGGGCACCATATGCTGCACTCAGCTAAGCTTGTACAGGCAACCTTGTGAAGACCTGCAAATTACTGTGACCAGTGCTCATTCAAATTTTCACGTGAGTCTATAGGTCTGACTCAAAGTGAGACCAGTTAACTAACAACGAACGAACGCAAATGCAAAATGCCCCTTCCAAGCAAACAGCGCCTATATATTGATATTGTGCGCACCGTTTACTATAACTAGTCCGAAAAGCGAGAGTCAGTTCTCCTCCTAGCTAAATTGGATAAAATTGGCCCTACAGGGCTTCTAGGGCATGGCAGACGGCTTCGTCATCTCATGATAAAGTAGTGAATGGTGCTCCACCTCCTAGAAAAGCATCTCAGAAACACTTTTCCTTGTGTCTTCTATGTGCCTTGCCACCCTAAGCGACGTAAATTTGCTTCTGCGCGCCATTAGCAACGGGTTTTTTGCCCTCCCCCTCGTTCCTATAATGAAGAGAAATGAACAACCTCGTTCACAGATGAATCGCGGCATAACATGATATATTGGGCAACCATCGGTGACTCCAAATGGGCGCACTGACTCATCATACAATTCCAGTAGGTCAACGAAAAGGTACTGATGGAACATGTCTAACTCCTCGACGGTGAAACACTGAAACATGAAAGCTATAATACTTCTTCAAAACTTACACAGAATTGTCCTTATGCAGACAGCTTACGTTGATCATGGGCGCTTTTTCAAAATGAAATTCATATTCATTGATATAGCGTGAAACCGGCATCAGGGGAAGAACCGCAGGTAATTCTCGGTGGAAGAAAACCTGGAAGAACAAGAGAATCTAGGAGTACTCCAACGAAACCGACACGGTCACCAAAAAAGAGCTGCATAAGAAGAAAATCGGTAAAATTGAAACTGCATTAAAATAATATCAAACAACTTTATTTTGCTCTTGATCCGATTGAAAAAAATCCTTCGGTAACGCCAAGTACACTTCAGTAATCACAGTATTAAAGTTCGAGGCTCAAATGGATAACAGATCTCTACATTGGATCCCCTGACCCCGAAACACACTGGAAAGCGACCCCTTTGATCAAAATCGAGCCCTGTTCGGCTTGGAAGAGGCATTTACACTTTCGCTCGTTCTTTTCTTATTTCATGTTAAACAATCGACCTCAAGCTGGGCAGACCTGTAAACTTCCGTGAAGCTGTCAAATGATAGGAGTGAGCTACTTTGTTAACAGGAATTTGCAGGTGTTTACAAGGTGGTCTGTGAAAACTCAGTTCAGTACCATTCAGAGCCCCCACCAAGCCGAAGTGCATCCAGTATTGTTATTAACGAGTTACTGTTCTCAAAATTGTTACTGAGTTATCCGCGATATATGTCAGACTAAGAATACCTAGTGCTATATTACAGAAGAATTCACAAGCATATAAAAAAACAAGGCAGTAAAGCAGAAAGATAAGTCAACAGGCCAAAGACGGACCACTCATATGGCCAAAATGGAGAATTCATTCGAGTGTGACCGAAAAGGAATCCTATATGACGCGGCTACTTTTTAGTAAAAGCCGATTCTAGTGAAAAGGGGCCAATAATCCAAAAAAACTTACTGAGAAGCCTTGGAACACATATGAGTCACCCGCATGATTAATCCGGGTACGTGTACCTTCACCTAAAGGCGCCGATGGTCTTCTAACCACTAGCACATAATGGTGAAGCTTTGAAGCGTTGCTGAAAAATGGCTAAGCATTAAATAAGAAGTGTAGAGAGTAAAACACACTGAACACTAGTCCCGTTCGGTGCGGATGATGGAGCGTTTCGGTGAGGCTGGGTTTGGCACGGCGCCAAACCCGCTCTCCATCAGTTGTTTATGTAACGGTCTTCATTAACATAAACATTGCCCGAACTGCCCAGTTTCTGCATGCGGCCCCCAACTGTACAGTTGCCACATGAGGTGTAGCTAGCCACCACTAACGCGCGGCGATCTACGAACTGAATTGATGTCACACAGCCCTAGCGGGGCGGGTGTTAGCGGCAGTACAGGCCGCATCGCCGTGTGTCCCTTCCCAAGCCCTCTCAGCACGAAGCTGTAGTAATGCCGAAAGAATGCTCGAAGTAACAGAACAAGTACTCACTTCTCGTTTGGAATACAATTAGGGATCCGTGACTCTCCTGGAAAGACATTGTGACGAAGGCCACTTTTCTTCGCTGAAGGCGAGCATCGGCACATTAGTCCATAGGCACCCTGAAACACAACCTGTTGCAAAACAATACCAGAGCTACAGACGAATTTGGGGCAGTTCGGCGACTTAGGCGAGAGGTGTTAGTGCAGTTGCTTGCCTAACATCGGTCGAGCCATCAAGAGACCTTCGCAGAATTTTTGTTGAAATGACCACTTTAAAGTTTGTGTGAGCTCAGATGTGGCCTGAACAAATATCTGCCCTCTTTGTAACGCATTGAAAATACCATCGCACCCTCGCCCCTCCCCCACCGCGTCGCCGAACTGCGCCAACAACTCAATCCAGCTCACCACTTCAGGTTCATTAAAGCATACATCTTCGCATAACGCAGCACCACTCCTGTACTTTCTGTCGAACTATAATTCAAAACAAGGACTGAGAACGGCACGAAAAAAACAGGCAGAAATTCAGGCAACTGTTCTTAATATGCCGCATACTTCTTCTAAATCTATTCCTACAGTTTTTGTCGAAATTTGTTTAGAGGGTGGATTCGGCAAGATATTTGGGAGATGGGCAAGAGAATCGTAAATTGCCGCTTCGTCGCGCGCGGCAATGGGCGCGACGTTTCCTTAATTTGCACTACCCTTATCGATTGGAGCATCGGATTTCATGCAGACAAGGAAATGGTAGACATTTGTGTCTATTTTTAGTCATATATTGAATATTCTCGACCAAGACCACCTGAAACCATCGCACGCGACGCCACTTGGCGCGGCGAATTATGATCCTTTTGAATCATACCCAAGATATTTCAATATTCATATTCCCAAGATATTCATACTGGCGCAATTTGGACACATGAACACGAACATTATAATTGTTTTGTATCGGAGCGCTTAGTGTCAGCGCTAAACAAATGAGCGTGATCTTGTAGGGTCCCTAACGGTCTTAGGACCAAATTTTCAGCCCCAATCTGCCATGGGCAGTTTCAACAAGTCTCTGACATAAATTTGGAAGAGCGCGACCGCAAAGGGTCAACAGAGCCGGAACACGTACCTCTTTTTTCAGGAGATATGAGCTACGCTGTCTAGTATTCATTTTTTCCACATCACTCATTCCCGAGTCATAGTCTCCTCCATCGTCATCATCAGTGTCACTATCATCGCTCACATCAGAAAGGTCAGTATCAGAGTTGTCGTCAGAATCAGAATTACTCTCTTCGGACGACGAGCTTACGGAGGATTCAGAAGCACTCCTTTCAGAATTTTTGGCACCTGAAATCGGCACCTCACGTAATCATGTGAAGTAAAAACGGGAAAGCAGCTTGGGGCTGAGGCAGTTGGGGCGGAGCGAAGTGCGGCCACAGCGAGAAAACACAATGCGTCCTATCTGGCTTTCTGACTGCTCTTCGAGGCTGAGATTTTTCAAGGAAGAGATAAACTATCTTGGCAGAGCGGCGCGCCGGAGCAGACTTGTCCGCCTGCAGAATGATGGGGCGCGTGTCATTGGAGCCGCGACGCCAGCACTTATCTCCATCAGTTGTTGGAGCGAGTATGCGACCCAGCTCCGCCTGACACGTACCCATTTTCCCGTACCAGACAAGATGTAACTTTTCTCGCATCACTGCTCATAGCCCCTCCCTCGCCAACCATATTGAATCTCAGCAGCTTTCAAATGAAAAATAAGAGTGTGTATAATGCGAAGATGCGACACTGCGGAACTGAAGTTGCGTGATAGCGCGCCGAAGTGCTACCTTCTCTTCCCTAGAGGACTCATCTTAAAACTGGGCTCATTCTCAAACACGAGACAAGCGACCAGAGCTCTGCCATCCGCACGTCGCCTAAGGCGTACAGGATCGGACACAGCCCCGCCTCCGCGTAGCGCCCCTCAACTTCAATAAGTGCCAAAAATGTTTCTAAAACTTACATCTCCAACATGAATGGACTAGAATCTTTTCAACCGGTTCTAATTTAGTACGCTCCTTTCGCATCTGTTGAATACTTCTGAGTAACGATCGAAAAGTCTCCAAAACTGGAGCGTACTCGGAAGTTGATCGCACTTCACCGGGCTTTGATCGTGACTAAATCAGAGAATACTTCTAATCCAGCAGCATTTAATTTTTCAAAACAATCAACGATTTTAGTACATTATCCTCTTTATAGTAAAAACACCTACGGTGGAACTGAATGTATAGTGTAGTTCGCTGCGGACGGCTGGGCGTGTCACGCGGGATGAGTTTGGCGCGGTATGATATGACTGTATCATATCGTCCGTATTAGTTTTCTACCACTTTTCGTCGCATGCGCGCTTCAACAAGAACAGCAGGAAACGCGCCTTTGACGTGTGTCAACTCATGCTGCCTGACCAGCCCAACCGTCCGCCGCCAGCAAACTAGAGTGTATTTTCTAGTTATATACCTGTTACGTACCCCTATGGCTAATCCGAAAAACAGGTACAGCGCTCAACGTATTGTGTTTTTCTGGTGCTTCACAGCTGCCGGATCGATTCAACGTACTGGCAAAACATACTTGTGAACCCTACTCATTTTAAAGACCCATTTCTGAGAAATAAACCACCTCTTCATCCATGAGCCTTCTGAAGGTTTCTTGATCAAGGGCAAGACCTTCACCTATAATAAGGAAGCTACCTCGTGGAAAATTCAGAGTTACAGCACAAAAGGTCTCGCTTGCTCGATGAAGGGGTGTGTCAGGCGGGACGGCGCCAAACCGATTCAGCCTGACACCCCTTCACCCCAGCGAACAACCTCAAAAAAGCATAAACGAACCAGCATAAACAAGAAACTAAGGAACTAACCAATTTCTTCGTCTCTGTCATCCTCTTCGCTCTCTAATACTTCGCCCTCTTCTAGCTCACTGGTGTCATCGGATATGACGATGTTATCCACATCCGAGAACTGTAAATCTGAGACCGAGGAGATAGTCTCGTCATCGCTCTGAAAGCCATCGATTATCTGCTTCGCAACTCATTATAAGTGATGGGTCCTGACACGAAAGGCAGGGCGCAGAGCAATAGAGGACCATGGCTGTTAGAACGTCAAAGGTGCGGCCAAGCATGACGCTAGCCAAGGGATGAGCTTTTACAAGAGGACATGATGAGAGGTGCGTGAGCCACTTATCATGAGGCGAGAAATCTGGAATCGTCTAAGCGTCATAGTGGTCAAGGAATAGGCCTGCAAACCGTTGAGAGCGCCATGAGAAAAAACAGAAAGATTGATGTGGTTGAAGAAACTTTTCCTTTACGTAGAGGATTTTATTGGGAATTTCCTGACTTTTCGAGTGGCACACTAACGCTTAAACTGCAAAGTTGAACTAATGTAGAGGTTTTTTTCCAACAGAGAAAGCTGGTCACCAAAAAAAACTGAAGTTCCGGCTTGGCCATATACCACCAAGGTTCAGACTTAGCCAGGAGCAGACAGCCAAAGTTTCCACTCCGTAACCTCGCAGAGGAGACACAACTCGCGCTGCCGTTTGCCCCTCCGAACTACATTAACGTATATTATAAGCTTATAAGGCATTTTTAGGAGGGGCGGGGGGGCTCGCATTCGCAACAAGAACCGAGCCCTTTTTCTACTTGTCTGTGGCCTCTCGTTAAGGAGGTCGAATAGGAAAAAGGTTGTTGTTTCAGCTTTCGTACCTCGACTGCCCTCAACTACTTCTAAGTAGTGAATGAAGTTTGCGCGGTTTCGCATTTAAAAATTTGTTTACCAACAGTGGGACCCCACTCCCGTTTAGGCAACTCATTCGTGGCCCACAAGCGTTCCTCCGCAAGACGAAAAACGACTGTCTTAGTAAATGTCCCCACCTTCTCGGCATGGCCACTATCACCTTCGCTAGTTTATGTAATCTGTCTTAGAACGCCTTATCGGTGCCCGTATTGGGTGGTGCTCGCGCTGAAAAGACATTTTGCACCACTTCGCTAGTTTTTCGCTGCTGTTCCCGATTGGAACTTACAACGAACACTTTGGTGAACTTGTAGGTTCCTGACTGAGTCTTAGCGAAGCTCGTACTCTATAGCTTAACAGGAATTTATAGGTCTACACAGGAGACATCGCCAGCGATCTATGGGAACCAGCAAAATGTCCCCACCAACCCGATCTGCTTTAAACCAGCGGAGATATTTGGATGCGTATCACAAGCAAACTATAGAAGGCTCTGCAACAGCTGTGATACTTGTTTCAGAGGACATTTGACATTAAAAGAAGAAGACTTTTCATCATAAAAAATGAGCTCTAAAAAACTGCACTCACCTCAGAACCAGAACCATCTTCGTCAAGTTCTCCTCCAGAAAAGCTTCCTATCTAACTTTTCACGCATTTCATCCTCTGAATATACAGAACATAGATGTGAAAACAACAAAGGAGACGAATTCTGAAACGCTGTCTCAGTACGCGAACGCACTTATTTGTCGCCAGCGGCTGGTCCCACGCGCGCGCAACTTTGAATTCAAACGCGCTGTGTGCATGTGCACAACACTCTGAACACCGTAATCTCTCCTGGTCTATTATATACGAACGAACGAATAAACTATGTACTGAATGGATAACCTTATTTTCTCTTATAGTGGGTAAGCGCGCTGCTCCAGAGACACGGTGTCACATGCTGGAATCCACACAAGTTGATTATATCAGTTTTTCTAACATTCTCTTTTGACTACATTCTTTTTGCCCCTGCATGTTCCATCAGAACGGCGATCTCATAGGTGAGTTTTCACATTTCCTGAATTCTAATATTTGTGAATGCGTCGCCATTTTCTCCGTGCTTTCATTTTCGATCCCATTCTACATTACCCTTTCTTGAACCTGTCTTGCATGCACTTTATATATCCCCTTCACATTACCATTGCTTTGTGGCGTAGAGAATCATCAGGTTTCTGTCATGGCTTCCGAGATATTCGCGGTGAATGCTGTTACGCGAACCCTTCGGAAAACCACGAGATGACCTGAGGTGTTGAGCAAAACTTCTTTAGGCAGTTTTGTGGGTGCTTTGAGACTTGGGTTTGGTGTAACCCTGTTATGATGGTGGTTCAGTGGATATGAGAGAACAAGAGACAGAGAGTGAGTGCACAACGTTTATCTCTTCACGCAACGCAAAGGACCAAAAAGAACAGAATGGGCTCGATGCTACTCGCCACTACAATACTATGCCCGCCCCCAACAGCTGGCGAAGGGGGCATCATCGTTGACGATGATAGGCAGCGTTCAGACTTTTAGCGCTACGCCGCGCTACAGCTGTAGCGCTACTGTACCGAAGTCCAGCTTCCATTTTTGTTTTTTTTTCTGAATTCAATCCCTTTCCCTTCATTTCTCATTTTATGTGTTCCTGAGCCCCTCTTCCTTTTCAGGGAGGGGGATGGGGTGTGGGGGGTTGCCGAGGGTCGTGATCACGAGTATTATATTGGTTTGTGTCACTGGCGCGAAAAAAAACAAAAATGGAAGCTGGACTTCGGTACAGTAGCGCTACAGCTGTAGCGCGGCGTAGCGCTAAAAGTCTGAACGCTGCCTAAAGAAGTTGCTCAACACCTCAGGTCATCTCGTGGTTTTCCGGCACGGAGAAAATGGCGACGCATTCACAAATATTAGAATTCAGGAAATGTGAAAACTCACCTATGAGATCGCCGTTCTGATGGAACATGCAGGGGCAAAAAGAATGTAGTCAAAAGAGAATGTTAGAAAAACTGATATAATCAACTTGTGTGGATTCCAGCATGTGACACCGTGTCTCTGGAGCAGCGCGCTTACCCACTATAAGAGAAAATAAGGTTATCCATTCAGTACATAGTTTATTCGTTCGTTCGTATATAATAGACCAGGAGAGATTACGGTGTTCAGAGTGTTGTGCACATGCACACAGCGCGTTTGAATTCAAAGTTGCGCGCGCGTGGGACCAGCCGCTGGCGACAAATAAGTGCGTTCCGCAGTTGTATTTGGCATTAGGCGCTCGAGCGCGAGTATTGACATTGCTAGCGCGACATAATCAGGGCAGGGCACCGACGAAACTGCTCATTCAGCACAAACTACCTTGTAACTCTGATCCATATATGACCTATTTCGACGTGCTCATCGACCTAATTTAGTTTCTATGCATCTTTTACTTGAAAATTATCAAAAAAGTATTCGCCTGAAAACGGGTATTTTATTGACGGCAAAATCTTTGACCTCATTGAAGTCTAAAAATTCTGAAATACAGTTGTGTATGCCATTTAGTTGTTCCCAAGGCAGGTCGATTAAGTGTAGAGGATCACTTTTGAGCCATTTTGTAGCCCGCCACAAAGGCAGCGAACTTTGCCCATCTGTGACCCGCTCCATTGTTGTCCTGCCACTTCTATAAGCACCTTCTCTCCTTATCCCGTCGCAGCACTTTGCAGGACGTACACCGGAAAATATTGGACGGCACATTTCGCGATGATTTCATGGATGAAGTCACCCCTGACGCCTTCTCATTAATGGTCACACTGGCATTCTCCCTATGGGTATGGCACATGGAGGGATAATGCCAATAAGGGAGGCGCAACTGTCCAAGTAACCCCGCCCACTAGATCCGAACAAACTGTGTCTTTCAGGACGGAACATTTGGCCTTGCGCCGCTCGCTTATGTTTATGTTTACTTACGTTTGTGATTTTTCAAAGAGATAAGCACCGTATCGCGGCATCCCTGAAATAACATTCGCACTGAAAGCTGCTGCAGAGAAACGCGAGCAGAAGAAAACTTAGCATCTTTGTCGTACATTTGAAAAAATGTAGGAAAACTTCCAGCACAGTTCTGCTTGTGGGAGGGGGTGAGACTTGCAATTTCGCTTCTCCCAATGCAGTGTCGAGGAATCTAGCAAAGATTTCTCTGGCAAAGAAAGATTGTGAAACCTTGTGAAGCCATGAAGTGATACCAATCAAAGTTTGTAGAGGTTACTTGTCAACCCCCTAAAGCAATGAACGCGACGATCTGAAGTAGCGAAAAAGCAAAATGCCCCTCCTCCCACAAGCCAAACTATGCCGAATCTTTATTTCAACCGATGTCTTTATTTCGAGAAATGAAGTGTTCCTGAGCAGTTCTTCTCAAATTCTTGTCGTTCTTCAGTGCAGCCCTCGCAGCACCAATCTATGAACGAAAACTGGTTCTGAAATGGAGTCTAGCCGTAGATGGAAGAAAACAATGTAAAGAGTGAAATTGCAGGACACTGCAGAGAAGAAAAACGTTGGAAAGAAGTACTTGGTTGACATCTCAAGGCCAAACACATCAGGGAGTTGAACACGAGACTTCAATTACACTGTGAGAGACCCATTCTCGGAATTTATGAAGAATGATACCGAAAAATAGGAGTAACTGAAAGTTTTGTGGAATACTGGATTCATCGTGGTTTGCACTAACCACGACGTATCCACGGCCGTTCTGCTTCAACTGGCATTAATTATCATTGAAATGGGGGGGGGAAGTAGGTGGCTGTACATTCCTGTCAACATACCGGCAGTTTTGCGAAGTCGTGTAATGTCCAGTATGGTCACAATTTTCAGTCGTGATAGAAGCTTCACTTGCACACCACTCCTACACTTTTTTTTCAAAAGATGAATTTAGTGCCGAAAGTTCCGAAGAAGCGATTGGGCTTGGAAGCACGAGGATTTGTCCATTAAAGGCAGATGGCACGATGAACCCCCAAGACGAGTAGGGTTAATACGCTCCGGCTGGACCGTGAGCAGGCGCTGCATAATGCCTTTTCCAAGGGAGGTGCCCTTATAAGGGCCCTATCAAGCCACAACATACCGACCCAAACGCCCGCCACGCCCGCCCGCCCACAAATGGACGACCGTTCCTGACGCTCGTATTGATTCATTTGCTAAGCAAATTATGAAGCGAAGGGATTGGTATGAAGCGGCCGTGATGCTGCATGGATATATGAGTACACATATGCAGCCGTACCTTCGGTAGCGGTTATTGGCAAGATGCCTACAGGAAACTCGTCCAAAATTGATTTCTATACATTGAGAACGGAAGCTCTTTCTTCGCAGGATTTTGACCGTTTCACTCCGTTCTTTCGCCATTTCCCCCGCTATATAGCGCCCTAATAGCATTTTATGCCGAACACCAAATCATCGTGCCAACTGCCTTTAACTAGGGAAAACGACGCATCATGGCAAGCAAACTTATCATCTGAACAGTAAGGTTTTCGCAACTGTTGAGAAGTGTTTCACCTATAGAGTGGAAGCGGGCGAGTTCGGTTTGGTGGGGACAGGAGGTGTACTCAGTGAAGGTTGAAGCTAGAACAGGCCGTCTTGTAAAAGCCGACCTGTTAAATAAGTGTGACCGATTCGGTCCACTACACGATTTCGCAGTCTCAAGAGTTCACATACATATCTTAGCGAAATTAGAGTTAGGTAAAGCAGAATTCGCGATGAGCTAGCCAAAAAATTCGTAGGTAGTGCGGTTGAGGAACGCATCGTGTAAGCTAATTGACTCGGTCGTAACAAAATGACCTGTCCCATTTCCAAGAGTTTGCAGTTTGCAAAGCTTTCCCATCCGTAAAGGACAAGCGCCGGGATATGTTTTCATGTGCCGTAGGTTTGTGCAAACATTCAAATGTACAGACTTGCCCTGATGTTCGATCGAATATTTTTAGAACTTTGATTTGGGTCCATTAATTTTTTTATCCTTTGGAACAGGCATCCATCTGAGGTTCGACTGGATTCAGCCACTGTGATATCTGCAGTTTTCCAAGATTCAGATGATTCAAAATCAGGGACAGGAACTCCTTTCGACAAGGCTCTGTCTCACAAGATATTTTCGGCATGAACAAACGAGATGAGCCGTGTTTTGCGAGTCCTTGATTGTTGACAGAGCTTTGATATGCGCTGATAAAACATTTAGTCCTTATCTGTGTTGTGCCAAGGAAAAAAGGCTTCCTAATGAGAAAGGTTTCCTGACAAAAAAGGTAGAGGAATCCCTGCAGTACCGAACTCTGGCCATTTTTCGCGTCATCGTCTCTATACAGACCACTCCAAACAGGTGTTACTATTTGACGTTACTCACCAGGTGGCTAGATGGGTCGCTGCCCACCCCCCCCCCTTCATGCGTCGTATAATGCCCGAGATATACTTCGTCTTTTCGGGATTAGCTACTCCTTCCGATATGGATTAATATGCGAATGTCGTCTTCTGCAAACGAGGTCCGGGACGAAGGATGGCTCAAGGATGGCTCATGATGCTCTGTGATTTTCGATGGAAGTCAAGTGCGTGTCGCATCGTGAAAGATTGGATAGAGAACCAGTGCTCTACACGA